AAAAAAAAAAAAAAAAAAAAAAAACAAGAAAAAACCACTAAAACAATTATGTAAGTAGAATAACAACTAGTAGTGAAGGACCTATTGAAGACCCAATTTATTTGTAATATAATTTTGTCTGATTTCTTATGTAATAATGCGTAACAAGTAATAATGTTTAAAAGTCTAAATTAAACTACAATTACTAGGGATTATTTATTTGTTATTACAAAAAAGGATAAATTACAAAAACATCTTTATAAAAGGAGTGAAATCTTTTAATAGATCATGAGGAGATTCACATTTAGTAAAAGTAAAATACTTACGAAGTTTATGTATCAAATTATGTATTTTATCACCCAAGAGCGCTTGGATGAGATGACTTGGGTCTCTTCCAGCTTAACCAGTGGTCTTGTGTTCGAGCCCTGGGAATGCAGTAGTGTTAAAACTCTTGAGGGAGAGCTTTGCCGCCCTTGTGGTCCTACCCGGCTCGATTCTGGATTAGTCGGTTCCTCTGTGGATCCGGAAACCGAAAGGTCCCTGTACAAAAAAAAAAATTATGTATTTTATCAAGAATTTATACTAAAATCTAAAGAAAAGGAACCAAACTGTACTTATAATAAAAGTTATATATGCTAGTACGAACAATATGAAATTACTGTTTCACTCATTTCTTATAAATTTTTTTTTCCGTGTGGTTAAAAAATTGATAAGAAAAAAAAAGAGAAGTGAAGCTTTATCAAAGTATAGGGAAATACGGTCTCATTACAGAATCATTCTGTCGGAGTTTATAACCGTTAGATCAACTATCCCTTACGGTTATACATGATGATCTAACAGTTACAAACTCTGATAAAATGATTCCGTCAATAAAAGAAAAAAAAAAAGCAACTAATTTTTAAAGCTCAGGTACACATAAGCTCCAACGTAAAAGTTCCATAATCCACGTCATATTCTCTCCCCCTTTAACAAAAAGACAACATTGTCAAAGCATGTTCTCTTAAATATTGACCACCTTTTTTTCTTTTCCCTCCCAATTTTCCCAAGACAATATCAGCTTTGGTATTGGGTACCTTTTTCCCCTTTTTGTCCTCTCAAGATATCATAAAATTCCAACCCAATAAATAAAGCATTATTAATTTATAATAAATAACAATTAACAATATATAATCTAGTTTTATGCATCTAAGCATATATAAGAATATTTTTCCAAATTACTTTCAGAATATTATGAAAGATTTTCCAAGTGATATGATGCCGGCCGATAAGCCGTTGTGGTCGCGAAATTTCAGTCCGAATCTATCAAAGGCTTCGCCAACATTCGATTCCCAATCATCCGTATGCGGTAAGTTCACGTCACAATTTTTTAAAACGAAATTAATAGTAACGATCGGTGTAACTAAAATAACTGTCTGAACGTTAATTTTTTTTTTTTTTTTGTAG